CTCTAGTTGGACCCGGGGGGAGGGAGGGGAGGGGAGAGGGCCGGCGGTCCGAGGATTCGAACCACCGACCCCCGGGGGGACGGGGCCAACTACAGTGACGGTAACCAATACACCACAGGAGCGGCGAGAGACAACGGCGTCTGGATCATATTTGAGCTGCCTTCGCCCGGCCGTTCAGCAGTTGCAAACGGAAAGCGAAAAGCGAACTCCGGGTGGGCCTCGAACCTCTGACCGTTGGATCTCCAAACTGGCGCCTTACCAACTCAGCTACGACGCCACGATACTGGTGTTTGCTCCAATAGTCGACCCAATCTACGCTCTCTTTGACGACCACAAAGCCAAGGCCAGAAAAGAGGCGAAAATGATACACGGCTGGTTTTCGAACCAGCGATCGTCCGCGCGCTGGGTCACTGGATACGCGTTAGCACGCTCGACCGTCAGCTCGCCCTTCCTTGCGGATGGTCTGAGCTCGGCTTTGCCTTACGGGAGACAAGAACTGACAAACTAAAACAAATGTGGCCCCGGCCGGAGTCGATCTGAGGACCGACAGGTTGCGACGGTTCACGCCGCGATGCGAGGTAAAGGAAAAGTTTGCGCCGGCCTGGGGATTCGATCCCGGGACCGATGGGTCCACGCCCCAGCACGCTCGCCACTCGGCTGTCAGCTCATCCCATCGATGCATCGTTCAGAACTCGGTGCTGCTTTACGGGCCTTGGTCTCCCGCAAGGCAGCCGAGGCAGGTGGTCAAGTCCACCTCCTGAACGCGCTGCATCCCTGGTCAGCCCTGGTCAGATACCACGGGAAATGGGCGCTCCGCAGGAATTCCGCGTCTCAAATGAGCGCATTTTTGGACCCTTTGCCCTGTCAACTGACCCGGGCTGCAGCGCGTTGAGGAGGTGGACTTGAACGACTTCCTCGCCTGCCTTGCGGTAGACCAAGACCCGTAAAGCTGCACCGGGTTCTGAACACCCGTATGGTATGAGGTGTTGACAGTCCAGTGGCGAGCGTGCTTGGCCGAGGCTATCATACATCGGCTGCACTAGGTTCGAATCCGGGTCGGGGCGAGTGTCTTTTTTGTGCGTTCGCCCCTTCGTAATAGAGAGTGGAGGAGCAAGAAAAATCGTGGACCGCCCGCTTCGGGTTGGAGTCGTTCCCACACCGAAGCGATCAGTCGTAGACGCCTCAACCCACTCGGCCACTGACTGCTCGTGCTGAGCTCTCGTCCGCTTCTGCCTATGTCTCCACAGGCCACCTGGAATTAACCTTCTACTATTCAGCCAAGGCCTGGATTCGATCCGGGGCCGAAGCACACGCATCAACACAACTTGCCTCTTTTTTTGTTGTAAAATTGGTGTTCGAAAAGGTTCGCAGTAAGCTCGCCCCGACCGGGAGTCGATCCTACGCCACTGCTGTCAGATATCTACGCCTTATCCCACTCGGCCATAGACTGCTGTTGGTGAGACCGTGCCCTTCTTTACGGGTGTTGATCTGCCGTATTGCACGCGTTTAGGTCGAGTCAAGTGCACCTCCTCGACGCGCTGCAGCCCGGGTCGAAATCTTGGCCAAGTAAGTCTTAGCCAGGGTTAGAGTCAGGGTAAAAGTTTATTTTGGTATTTGTTTCTATTACGGGGTTACCTGTTATATCTTTACTGTCTCTTTGCTACCTCCATATATACCGCTTATTACTTGATCCTAAAATATGTAGTCGTGTGTTGATTTTAGTGGAGGGAAATGAGAGAGGCACATCATCAGAGAGTCAGTTACAGTAATGCTGTTATTTATTTCATTTGTCCGGTACAGTCGTAGTAAAATAGGAAAGTGATGCTGGTTCTTGTCCTGGACTTGAAGCTGGCCACCTGTAACATAGAAAGTTCATTCGATGAGTTGGCGTCACAGTGATAGAGATGGACCAGAACACGTTTGAGTTGAACTCTAAAATATTTTGAATTTACTAATATTTTTTTTCATTCTTTTTCAGGTATT